GAAAACGAAAATGCGATGAAAACGCCTGGCCAAAGGCACTCGCTGAGCCACTGTGCTCCCCAAGGGGCGTGGCCAATAATAAAAGGGATAAAATCATAAGCCCAAATTTATAGCACTCGGCACAGCAGAGCAGTCGAGTCAAATTGTATGTGTGTAATGGATCAAGTTTATTTATAAGGCTGCCGCAATCGCCTACTTCAACACTTCAATTCGCCCCCTCAGCAACCAAGCCAGGCAACCAAATATTACGCATACGCAGCGTTGTTCGCTACTACAGTAAAATCCAGTGCGGCGACCCCCACATGAAAGACGCTGATGGAGAAGCAAAACCGTCATCGGCAACTGGATGATGAAGTGTTATTTAAATATAAATATATTATCTATCAATAAGCTGCCTAGACACACGCACAAAAGCCGCCAAAATGCTGAAAACGTGAAAAGCATTTTCCCGCATCAAATCTTCAAATTTGATGCCATTATTGTGTTTGCTTTTTTATGAACTGTGTCTGCGTACATGTGTGCATGTGTTTATGTGTGTGCGTGTGTGTTTGTGTCTGGCTTAATAATAAAGTGATTGCCTACTTTGGGTCACAAGCGCTGCCCGACGGCGCTTTGCCCGCACTCAAAGTGCCTCGACTTTTATTAAATTATGCGCGTTTGATGCCGCAACAAATTCAGTTTTGCCTAGCTCGCATCTTTTCTAATTTAATGGCCATGTCTGTGTCGCTTCGCTCAAAATTACTAATCGATAATTGACAGACGATAGTTGGAGAGCTTTCAGCTATCGAAATTCGAAATTTGACAAGGCAAATTGCATTGGGAGTAGGACAGATAGCTGAACATGTGATTGGCTTTAGCGATCGCTGAAGATGGAATGATTTCTGAAGCATGTAGGTTTTAGATAAGAATCTTGAAAATTTATGTAATATAATCACTCTTCGATGCGACAAACTATGGGGCATAACGTTTTATCTCTCAAGTATCTATATAGAATTCACACTAATAATATTTTAAGAGAGCTATCTAACTCAACTAGAGAGGGCACAAATTAAGTTTTCAAAGAGTTGGTTAAGTTTGTAGTAGGTTAACAGAAATGTCGTTGATTTTTGTCATGAAATTGCAGTGAATTTTATTTATTTTTTTACTATTAATATTTTATTATTCATATTTTCTTATTTATTTTTTATTCTTTCTTATAATTTTTTATTTTAGTTATTTTTATCATTCACCATTGTTGGTTACAACAATTAAAATTTAATTATTTTGTTATTAAGCTTATTTGTGCATAATTAATGCATTTTAGTGCTTTAATTGCTGGGCTTAGTAGCGAGTGGCACGCTCAGCAGTTTAATTTAAGCGTGGCCTAAAGACTTTATTTTTTGTAAAGAGTTTACTGTCGTTTACTCAGTCGTCTCACAGCTAGAAGAGAAGCGACTAGATATTGTCATGCTGCATATGAAGCTGGCTGTGCGTGGTCGTAGAAGCACAGATCGGAGTAGAAAATGCAACATATCTATTCGTATATAAGTTGCTCTTGGTTAGCATCAACTTTGTTAAGCACCGTGCAAAAGCTTTGCGTTATATATTTCCTGAAATCTGTCTAAAATTTATATATACATTTCACTTAGTGCCACAATTTCAGTTAATTAAATGCTGCTTTTTATTTTCACAATTTGTTCACTTCAAAAATACGAAATGCTTGTCCAACTTTGACGCGGATTTCACACATATTTTTTGCTTGCAAAATTAGTCAAATTAAAAGTGTTTAAAATATGCTTTGTGCTGCTAACCCTAAGCCAGAAAAACAGAAAAGTTTCCATAGCACGAGAAATGCGAGCAGCAAAAGCTGATCAGACGTGGCGTATGCGTAATATCGAAGTGTTATTTAATTGAAATATAATTGGAGTAAACTCAATGTTAAATGTTGTTGAGAATTACTCTCAACTAAAGCAAAATGAGAGCTAATTGAAAGCAAAAATTAAGCTTACACAACTGCCGCTGCGTGCTCAGCGCGATTTGCATAAAATATACTTTATCGATTTACTTGTTGCGTTTTGCATTGCACTGGCTGCAGTTGCTGCCTTTGGCCAAGAAATTAGCCCATTCGCTTGAGTGGAGCGAATCGCGTTTAGAGCCAATTTAAATTCAATTCTTTGCAAGCTCATTTTCTTGTTATTATTTTCAAATATCCATGCTCGTATTTCCATATAGCAAAGAGAGCTGCATAATATATTTTATATGCATATAGATAAGACTCGTAAGTATATGTATATAATAGATTATGTGGCGCAGGCCGCAACAAAATTCCCATTTTGTTAAAATGCAAATTAAAATATTTATGCAAATGCGAGGCAAGCAATACAATAAATTATGCCATAGCAGCAAAGGAATAAAGCAAAAAAAAAAAAAGAAACAGAAGAAGCAGAACAAGGAGAAGCAAACTGAATTTATAAAGAAAATAGGCAAAGGACGAGAAACAAGCAGCAAATGAGGCGCAGCGAGGCGACAGGCACGCAAACAATTACCTGTTACATGGCGAAGCCAATGCGCTGCGCATTTCCTATTGTGTTTGTCACAAATGTTGCCGTCTGTCACAATAATTTGCTGGCCGTAAACAAGTTCCTCACGGCAACGAAAGCAGGCAAAGCGAGCGAAATTTCAATACACCGAAAAGTTGGCTAGAAAAAAAGAAACGCAAACGGAAGCCGGAAATATGCAAAGCCAAACGCAGGGAAGTCAAAGCAGCCGGACAATGGAGACGCATTCGCATTCGCCTGGACGGACGACTTGCAACTGGAGCGCCTTTGTGTTACCTTAGTCGAGCTATTGCCGCACTGATTGTTTGATAGGGCCGGATCACGCATACGCCCCGTTTGCCAGCCACTTTAAGCCGTTTGCCAATTAGGTGCTGCTGCAGCAGCAGCAATAATAATAATAATAAGAACAAACAGCGGCAGCAGCAAGAGCAGCGGCTGCTGAAGAGGGGTAGCAAACGAGGCAACACCTTTTATAGCAGTCTAAAGAATTTAATTAATGCAAGTCGCGTGCGCTCTTTGAAATAAAAGCGCCCTGCCACGCCCACATACCCACGGCAAGTGCAAATTAAAAAGGGAAACGTAAAAAGCGACGCAACTAAAAAATTAATAAATAAAACTGTTAAGGCTAGCGAAAAGTAGTCGACTGCGCAATGCTCTACATGGAAATTATGAGTAGCGTTACGTATACGCCATGTGGCGTGAGCCAAGAGTTAGCCAAGCGCGCCACAAGTCAGGTATGCCGTGCCTCTGGTAGGGCATGCGAACGAAAGTCAAATGCTAAAACTTTCGTTGACAACGCAGACAGGTAAATACCGTGCAGCAGGTAGATGGCGGCAGGTGGCCAACGTTCTGTCTGCTCCGTTCAGGCTCTGAGGCATGGCTCCGAAATCCGCTTAGAGATGCGCTTAACAGCAATTATCTTCATTACGCGCACAGCGCACAGCGCAAAGTATGCAATGGTAAACAAGAAAACACAGAAAGAAATCAAACTGCAAAACAACAGTGGAGCAGAGCTTTCGCCAGGCCAACGACGAACGACGACCAGAGTGAAGACGCAGCAAACAGACCTTGAATATGAGTGAAAGAAGTTTATTTGTATTGAAATATAGATTTGATATGCGTGCTCAGGCATCAGCTCTACCTTAGCCTGCATTGTCAGCTAATGGGGCAAAACAAATTTGAATTTGCAACGCCATTACACTCGGAGAAAACTTGCTATTTAAATGAGGCAGCATTCCACAGTATATAGTTCTATGAGTGCCAACTGTCATAAAGCTGGAGACGTGTTCAAGTTTTATTGCCCACGGCAAATGGAAACAGCAGAGGAGGAGAAGTGGGAGAAGCGAAAGAAAAGACGTGCAGTCGAACAATTAGGTTGACAGCGGCAACAGCAACAGCAACGGCAGAAGCGCTCTCTCATCTGCCGCTTTCACCTTGAGCCGCCGAGCCTTAAGCTCTTCATATAAATGCGCCGCTGATGGATGTGTTTTGAGCGTCGACTCTCGGCTCGCGACTCAGCGGCTGACGTCACAGAGTTTCCTGTTTGACTTGTCGCCGTTATCAGCGTTAAGCAGCGGGTGGCGGAGCGGGGCTGGGTCTAAGCGATTTATAAAAGCCAAACGACAAACGGCAAACGGCAAACGGCAAATGGCGACAGTCAAAGCCAAAGTGTTGCAAGCAATTTGCGCAATGGCAGCGAGTGCCCTTTGCCAATTGTTGTTGCCAGAGCAGAAAGACAACAACAGATACAGCCCTCGCCGTTGGCTCTTGTTAACTTCTGCTGCCATTATTGAGTGCGTGCACGTAACTGACATCAGCGTGCTTATAAATCAAGTTGCAAATACTTTTACCTGCTTGCCTCTGTCTGTGTGTCTGTGTGGGTGTGTGCGTGCGTGGCAGCAAAGGAATGGAAAGCAAAGAAAAGCTGAAAAGTTAATATGAAAACATGGTCACATTCAGACGTATATAAAACTCCTTTTGGAGTTCATGAATTTGGCAACTGGCATATTCGCCCTCATATGATTAGATTAATGCATTGTATAATGGCTTGAGCGGAGACCAACCTGCAGCACCTGGCCAAACCACTGCTCTCTGCCCATCTGTCATCAGCTACACACAGAGCAGGCAATCTCTCACGCTGATTGCTTCTCTCCCCTCCCTCACTCGCCCACTCCGACTCGTTCTGCGTGCGTAAATCATAATTTAAATGCAAACGCTTGGGTTAAACACTCGTGTTTCGTACGCTGACAAACTGTGCGCACATCTATCATGAATTTGGATCGCAATAATTGAATATAAATTATTAAGTAATGCTGTTTTATGGGGAATGTGAACAAAGCATTTAATACTATGAAGAGTTTTGCTTTCCCATTGAATTGTAAAAGGAAAAAGTTCTCTTTTTTTCTTCAATCTAATCTCCTTTTATGGCTTATCACATTTCTATGAATTTTTATATATTTTTTTTTAGTGATTTTGAAATGTTTTACACCACGCGATACAGAACAAAAAATAGATGTGCAAAAAGCGAAAAGATTTTATATCGTAAAATGTGAGAAACGAACTTTTTGCATTTATTGAAATGAACTTGGTGCTTTTGGCCCTGTGTATGAAGGCCACGCAAACATTCTTCAAGCTAAAACATTAAGATCCAAACATAAAGCATTAGGCAACAAACCAAAAATAAAGTAAAAATAAAGAAAAAACAAGAGAAAAGAAGAAGAAAACATTCTCTGTGCTTGCGCCGCGCCTGTTCAAGTGGAAATCCGATGAGAGGGAAGTTTTGAGTGAAGTCAACTTCACTGCTGGCTTGTAAAAGTATCCGAAAAGTGGTCCGCGTTGATGGATTAGATGCGTAATATGAGCAAATGTGACAGACTAAAAGGCGAAAGACGAAAGGCAGGGACTTTGGTTGTGGCTGGGGCAATGACAGTGAACGCAAATTTAAAGAGAATCAAAGTAAAAACGATGAACAGGTAAGGAAGTACGCTCTGGGCCAGGTTAGGCTGCCGAGAACTTGTCTTTGGACACCCAATTGTAGATGATGAGCTGAACGAGATGCAGCATATCGTAGAACTGCACGTTCCAGACATTGATGAAGAAGAAGGCGCCCTGCATGAAGTTGAGTCCACGATATGGCTCCAGAGCGAGCATTGGCTCAACCGCTGCACTCAGATTGATAATCATGTGATCGAAGAGCCGTCTGTCCTCTGTATCGCGCAGCGAGTCCATCGGTATTAGGCCCAGCTCCTTGATGACCAGGCCGCCCTTCGGCTGCATGCTGGTGCCGAGCAGCATTATGAAGTCGCAGCCGTGCTCCGAGGCGAACTGCTGCAGAGCCAATTGTGCGAACTCGAAGGATATGAAGCGGGAGACAGCCATGGGGAAGCAGCACTGGGCGATGCGCACCAGATGGATGCCATTGTTGGCGCGCAGCAGCTTGAACTCGCGCCGCAGAATCTGTGGAAGTGTCAGCTCGTTCAGATCGAACATGGCATTGACCAGCGTGTCATAGAGTATGGTCCGTTGCGGTATCTCCAGCTGGCCCAGCTGCTTCTCCAGGTAGACCAGCAGCTGATAGTCGCGCACATTGTGCAGCTGATCGAGCGGATGCATGGCAAAGTTGCTGTTCTGCAAGAGCAGTGCGGCATGCAGCAGCTCGAAGACGCGCAGGCAGCGCACGTTCGCATAGTTATAGATGGGGCTGTCATAACGTTCCGTTATCAGAGCGGCACACGAGCGCATCGGGTGCATGATGCGCTGGCAGTAGATGGGCAAACGGGCTGCCTCGCACTGATACGGCCGATAGTCGTAGACCTCCTCGGTGCAGTAGTGAAACGGACTCACATGATGATTGACCAAAATGAAGCGACTGCGCAACAACAGATCCTCGGGCACATCGTCGCGAAAGACCAAGTGGCGTTCGGGCGTTATGTGCTGCTTATCAAGCAGAAAGCGCACCTCCGACTTGCTGGGATAGTCGCGTCGCATCATGTTCAATACGGGCATATAGTTGTGCTGCAGCGTGCCCGGATTGCGATAACGCAAATAAGCAATTGCCAAAGTGCTAACCACAGAGTCCAGGTCACAGCTCTCGTGCGATAGAGCAATGTACATTAGCTCCGGGCCGCCGGTGGGGCGCTGTAAGTGCAGTGGTAGCCATGCAGCTTAGCTAGCGTCTAGATGCTTCTCTGCTACAGCAACTAGCAACAACAACTACTCACCCACTGGGTCAGACGCTGTGAGTTAACCAGAAAGCTTAAGAAGTCCATCTTAAAAGTCCAGCACAACAGAGCACGGCCGTATAGCGCTCCGATTTATGTTTTTAGATGTTGTTGCTTTCTCAGCTGCTGCTTGTTTCAGTTATTGTTATTATTATTATTATCGTAATTTGATGTATTGTTTGCCTTTTCATTTCCAGTTGTTTGCCCCATTTCGTGTGCTCGATTGTGTGTGCTATGCCTGAACTGATGAACAGGTGCTGCTGACAGTACGAAATTTTCACTTGCCCTGAGGGTGACCCAGTAGGTGTGATACTATTTTCGATAGCCTAAAGCTGGCGGTGGCTCAACCTATCGATAACATCAAGCTGTTAAAGTATTTAACAAGATTTGCCATTGGCTTACGAGTTGTTTTATACTTGCTAAGCACGTCGTTAAAAGGCTTGAAGTTCTGATACAGATTTTTCGTTTTGATAAATTTAATTTGAAGACAATTTCAGATAAATTTCTTTTATATTCGAACTTTATTGTTAGAAATCAATACAAAATACTATTAAATTAATACACTTTTGCTTAATTGTTCAAATTTGTATTAGCTCGTTAGAATCTGCATTAAATATCACCAAGCTGAGACGCGCCTTATGTAGTTCGCTTCAAAGTTCTGTGTGGCTGTCACTAGTAAAAAGTTTAGTGTTGGTAAGTGTCATGTAGCTGTTAGTGTTGTGGGCGTGGCATTAGGCCTAGTCAAGTCACGCCGCCGTCTTGTCTGTCAACTGTGGTCCGAATTGGCTGACTTTTCACATTTGACCTGCACACGTAACGCGTTACCCACGCGCGCACACAGTTAGAGCCAAGGTCTTATGCATGCGAGTGTGTGTGTGTGTGTGCGTATTTGCAGTTATAGTTGGCACTTTGCTGTGGGGCAGAACGTGTGATTTATAATGCTCGCTACGTTGCTGCTGCTGCTTTGGTAAATTACTTTTGCACACGTTGAACTTAAACAACATATTTTCGACACAGCAAGTTGAGCGATTTTTATTTTATTTCGCCATTTATGGACGGCAGAACAAGAACGTGAAGCTGCTTTAATAAAAGGACGAATAACAATTTTGGCAACTCGGAATACTGAAGCGCAACAAGGCATGCCATTAGGTGCTGGCCAAGTATTTTGATTTTGTGGCACGCTCTCAGGCGCGGCCAAAAGTCACTTAGACATTAGCCCCAAAGTCGAGCCCAAATGACCTTCAGCTGGCAAGGCATAGACACACACACATACATTCATATGTATACACATATATGTATATATATATATACTGTATATACTCTGATAGTTGCTGCTTGGTGTTGCTGCGCATCGTCCCATTTAAAGGCTACATTATGTTGAATATTCAATTTAATGTTGCTTATAAATCATGTAGATCCTTTTGCTGCTTAGCGCCTGTCCGCTGTGCCCATTCCCCATTTCCACTCTCCATTTCATGATTTCTCTGTCTCTCTTTTTCTCTCCGTCATGTCACAGCCTGTGTTCGCCGCATTCAACCACTTTCAAAGTCAAGTAGTTTCGTTATCGTTTCAGTGATAGCTCGCTCGGTTTCTTATTTCATTTTCCGTTCAGCTTTGTTTTATGCTCTTACATATTGATAATTTACAGATTGATTAGCTGCGCTGACCAACAACAACACCAACATTTTAGCATTGCAGCAATGCATTATGCCAAATGGAAGACAAAGCCACTTAGCAGCATAGAGCTTGGAGTAGATAAGCTATTCCTCCTGCCAGCACTTCAATTATTCGAAGCCAACTAATTAACATATTGGATTATTCTGTTCTGGCTAATGCTTAATGTATGCATACACACATAGGTACATACATACATAGCTTTTTCATTTTCTAAATGTGTCAATAAAACCTGTTGGATTATGCTAATATAGCTGCAAATTTGTGAGGCTGCCGCCTACAGCCTTAAGCTGTTTCCATTTGCAAGTCGAAACAATAGTAAAAACAAGCAGCTCTAGTCATAAGATGGGTATAAATCGTGTAAATAGTATGATTAGTGTATGTACAAGTATTCTTGTATATATATAGATATAATATATATCTTTGCTTTATTAATGGCTTGAGGAATCATGGAACTAATCATTAAGCCTCCTTCCACTGAAGAAAGTTGAAATGAAATTGCAATTTCAAAACGTTTTTATTTAAATATTTCTTCACTTTTATAAGTTTTTTTAGTAGCTGCACTAAGAATTTTTTATTAATATTTATTAACACGCAAAAAATGATTGTAAACTTAATAAAGTATTTTAAATATTTTTGAAATTATTTTAGGTCATTTTAATTATTATTTAAATAAAATAAAATCTATAAAAAAAATTAAATTTAAAAATAAAACAATTTAAAGTTTTCAAAAAGAAAAAGTAAATATTTTAAAATGTATCAATATTTTCAAATATATTTAAATATTAAAATGTAATATTTTTAAATATTTGATTTATTTGAAAATATTTAAGTATTAAAATAATATATTTAAAAAAATTTTAAATATTTTTAAGATATTTAGATAAAATAGTATCAGGTAATTTAAGTAGTTTAAATACTTTAAATACTTTTATTTATATTTTTAGATCATTTAAAAAATTTAGAAATATTAGAATTATTTCCAATCATCATTGCAGCTGTATTAAAGCTATTTCACAAAATTTAAAATAAAAGCAGAAGTTAGAAGTAAATAAAAAATGTATATATTTGTTTACAATTGCAAAAGGCCTGCGGCATGTTTTTAATTGTTTCCAGAAAGTACTTAAATCAAAAATGAAAAAAATAGCAAATGCAAATGTTAGCAAATGAATTAAATTATTGTTTTAATTTTAGCTAAAAAAATAGGAACAACCTGGCTTAAGCATTATTGAAATATATAAATAGAGAAGAATAACATTTATTGATAAATTAAATTAAATCAATTATTTTTTTATTATTTTTATTTAAATTCTCATTTTAAATGGATTTATACTAACCGCTTCAGCTAGAGATTTTAGCTGTTTGTCTGTTTCCTTGTGCGGAAAAGCGGAAAAGTTTATGCAGTTTCTTCACACTCGATTGTCTGGATGCGTGTAATTGTATAACGGGCTTTTGTCTGGTATTTCGTTTGATGTTTGTTGCATTTTTAAGCACTTGCCAACTGATTAAGCATACGCACTGTGCCGGTTATTTCTGTTTGATCAACAAATTTGGCACAATTCAGATTTCAATTCGTTTCAGATGCTGTTTGCTGTTTTCACGAGAAAAAAAATTGATCACAAAAATTGATTAGCGCGATTTGATTATTAACTTTTATTTTCCTCTTCTTCCTTTCCTTCCTTTTTGGGCAACACAAATAAATAAATACTCGACAAGCTTAAGTCGCGTGCAGAGGCAACAATTTGATTGTTAAGAGAGCGGGTGGCCGTTGGACGCGTCGTCGTTGTCGTCTTCGCTGTCGTTGTCGTAGTAGAAAGCACGTACCGTTATGCGCTGTGTGTGTCACTGCTGAGAGAAGTGAAGCAACAAATAGCGGCAGAGTTCAACGTTAGACTGAACGGCGACTTGGTGCGAGCAGCACGGCGCAGCCAGTGTGGTGAGTTTGCCGTGGATAACATGCCTCTGCATGCCTGCCAGTGTGGTGAACTGAGCGCCAGCCTGCGAGAGCAAGAGAACGGTTCAGGCGACAGGCGACGAGTTCGCTCTCTTTCTATGGTTTTTTAATTTACAAGCAGTTTTCTTTCTCTGCGTCCTTACGATGGGCTGCGCTAATCGTAGGTGCTGTCGTTGCTGCTGCTGCTGCTGCTGCTGCTGCAGCTGCGGTTATATTGAATCTGTCTCATAATTGTAACGCGTGGTCGTGGGGACCACACACATATGCAGGTGTCAGCTAACCCTCCTGTCCCCGCCCCACTGTCACTTCTTTTGGCAGTTTGTCGCTGGCACAGCTCCAGTCCATTTCGCTTTGAAGCAACTGTTGCAAATGGCACCGGAAATGGGTTTCTCGATGCTGCTGCTGCTGCTGCGACAGCAGTCACATTGTAGCCAGCAAAGATCAAAGGGCTTAGCCCGTATAAGCCAGGTTCCTCTCTCATTTCATTTCATACCAATGCAATTCTAATAAGAAACCAAGACTCCGACGATAAAAGCTAAACTACTTGGTCTGCGATGACTTTAAGTTGAAATCTGAAATCCGAATTGAAGCAAAAGTTGAAATACTTGGAATAACTTTAGTGTTGCTAGTGAAAGAAATGCATGCCTGACGAGCAGATACCTATTAAAACTTAAGTTCTTCGGCATCTTTCAATTCACCAGATGTGATTAGGTTTTGTTTATTGGGGCACTCAGGTGAGACGTGCTTAGAGTTGAATATAGCGGAAAAAGATATAACGCAATGACGTCTCAGGCTATTACAGGGCATTAAATGACAGCAATTACTCGTATTTGAGCTCAAACTCTTAAAGTACTTTAACGTGTGCAGCATTACCATGATAAATTGAGCTTTACTTTACTCTTTTTGTCAGATGCCAAATAGGCTGTGGAAATATTGTTTTCCAAGAATTTTGTGGCCAAAACTTGAAGGCGAAATAGATGAAATATATTTATTTACTTAAAGATGTGCTAAGCATATATATATATATATATATATATACTTAGCAGTAGAAGCTGCCAACAAATTAAATTAAAAGACATTGCAAATGAAACAAAACGAAAGTCAATTATTCCTCTGGAAAAACTACTTGAAGCCGCAATAAACGAATGTCAACAGAGACTGCTGTTAGTTATATGCACATATATATGTATATATATATATGTATATATATTCATTAATTTAACATAATCTTGCTGGCTGAAGCTCATCAGGCGCAGTGACTAAGGTATTTGGATGACAATCGAAGCACTGCTGGCCCTCAAAAGCGCTTTGGCTATGATTAATGGATCTGTTGTCGTTATATTCATTGCTCTACAATAATTACAGTTTAGTTTTTAATGAGCCAACTCATTCTGGGCATAAAGTTTCTCGTCGCCCAAGTGACCGAAACCGAAAATTCGACACTTGCTGTACAAACAGCTGCATGTGGCAGCTGCCAAGTGGCTGGGGCATGCCATGCTCTTTCGGCTGCTGCTGCTGCTGCTGTTGCTGCTGCTGCTGCTTCTGCTAATTGGTCAACAACAAGCTTTGTACGCTGCGGGTGAAGTAGTTGTTATTATTGTTCTAGATGCGTATGTGTGTGCCTGTGTGTGTATGTGTCTCGTACAACACTTGATTATGCATTAAACAAATTTCGAAGTGCAACCCGAGGGGGCGCAGGCAAACAGGAAAACAAACAACGTCGACTGCTCTGAATACCCTGTAGTTGAGCAGCAACTTGCAGCAAATATTTGAGCTGCCTTCGCAGTTCCGTTAACACACACACATACACTCACACACACATGTGCAATTTGCTGGCGCATTTTATGCTGCGGTTGTTTTTTGTTTTAACTTCGCGCCATGTAAAATGCATTCTTTGAATAACTTTGCAGCTTCATATCTGTTTACTATTAACGAAATTTATTGACGTGTAAAAAGCGCACGATCAGCGAAAAGCTTTAAATTATTATTCTTTAAATATTAAGTGTATGCGAGAGAGAACACCACTTCGTCTCCTTCAGCGACAGACACAAAGCTCGATGACAGTTAGTAATAAAAAACTTTTGCTGAAGTTGAATGTCGCTCTACTCGGCTTTAAATAGGTAAATAGGCAAGACAAGAATCACATGGAGTAGTCTTCACTATATATATATAGATATATATATATATATATATATTATATATATTTATATATATATATATATATATATAGCGATAATCTATATATATTGGTTGGTTATTTTAAAGTTATACAACTTAATATAAAAAGAAAGCAAAGAAATGTATTTTTAATATTAATAAAATAGACTTTATGATATAGAAAATCTGATGACAATTATTAAATATGTACTATAACATTATATTAAACATATATTTTAAGCATTTGCCCGCCACGTCTGAAGCGCACAACACGCAATCAATGACTGCGGCATTCCATAAAGCGCACTAAACCTCCGTTTACTCTGGAGTGTCAACAAAAGCATGTGTATTATCCTCACTTTAAATGCAACAATTCTGATTATTTATGTACCCAATGTCAAGTCAAACTGAACAAAACACCAGCTATAAAGACTCTTAAAGAAACACTCGTTATATACATATAACGTTTGCCAAACTTATCTAACTTCGATAGGTTTTAGCTTTACTCAAATTAATTTGATATTGATTTTAGCTGAACTCAGTTAAAAGTCATTAATGATTTGAAACGAGCCAGGAAGACAGTCAAGGCCAGCTCAACTCGAAACTGAATGCCGTTTAAGACTTTGCCTTAATAACCTTCCGTAACATCCATCTGAGTGAACTGTATAAACCATTTTCAATAAGCCCAAAGTTGATTAAGATGAGCTTGAGTGCAATATGCGTGCATCACCAGACTTAGGCATAAAAAAACTTTCGCTCAGACTTAAAACAAGTGAAGCTTAAGCTGGCATTCGTAGCTGCCATTAGACATTTGCTAACAGTAGTTGATAATACCCTTGACAAAGGGCATGCGAGCTAGGGAGGGGGCGTGATGGGTAAGTGTAATTGGAAAAAGATTTGCGTGTGCATTTCGTGTTTAATTATAATAATTATTGTCCTGAGACTAATGCCTCACTATGTAAATCGTGCTCAAGGCTTGCTGCAGTTGCCGCATTTCCAAGATGCAAATTTCCGGTTTGCGTTATCTCGATGCTGGGCGTGTGGGGTGACTTAATTGAGAATGAGATTTGATTAATTTGCATGCCATAAACAAGTTTCAATTTGTTTATGTGCTCAAAGTCAAGCGAGGCTCGTAATTAAAGCAAAGCTGCTGCAGCGCTAGCTCAGCAACTCAACGACTCAACGAGTCGACGACTCGCCTAACCAGCTGGCCTGCGCCCCTCCAAGCCACCGAATCGTCGCTCGCAATCATGCAAATGAAATTCGCAGCAAAGCTACAAAAGGAGCAGGAACAGAGTGAAAAGCGAAGGCGAAGTGGAGACCGAAAGAATGCTGCCAAGGTAAGCAGATTAAAACGCCTTTGACTTGGCAACGTGCAGCAATCCGTAGCAATCCAGACGCTCCCTCATCTAGTCTTTGCATGCAAATGAATGCGCGTTGCATGCGGCAACAGGCGGCGACGACAGCGACGGCAACAGCAGCGTGTGGTAAATACATATTTACCCAATGTATTCATGTGCAAACAATTACGCGTTCATTTTTGCGACTTTTGTCTCGCACACACACACATACACACAGAGGCTGACACACACACTGACAAGCCCACGCACGCTGTGGCAACAACAATGGCCGATGCGTCAGCTGCAGTGGCGACAGCGACTGCTTTAAAGTTGATGAACCTTTGTCCATGCTGGCTGCCAGTGAGCGTTGTCGATTCTAGTTCAATTTGTTGAACCAGTTCAACCATGAGCTGCCATTTTATTCATCCGTTCACTCAGCATTTAATGCAGCATTACTCTTATTGCTAGCTGAAGAGCTCAATAGAACTAGTGTCGAACTAGTATGCCAGTGCAATTAGTTCAAAAATGAACTAGTTCAGCTCATGCACAAATAATACTATTTAGTAAATCAACTACGTGGCTCACTCATCAGTCAGCTTTGCTTGATGAATCCTGAACTAGTTCCATTAGTAAAGTCGCCGCGAAGTAATGATTCAAAAGAACTAGAACTGGTTCTAGAACTGGTTCAGTAGCTCAGTTGCTTAAATCGTGAATAACTGTATAAGTTGTACAGGTTACAGCTCATTGAACTGCATCGTTCAGTAGTGAAGCAGTTCATCTTAAAGTCCTGCTCAATCGAATCAGTTCTGAACGATATCAAACAGCTCAGCGTGCAGTTGCTGTTAGCTTTATTTTGTTCCATTTGGCTGGGCTTAGATCGGTTTGGGTTGCGGGTCTGTTGGGCTTTGTTGTGATTTGCGTTTTGTATATTCATATATGCATAAATATCCTTGACCTGTTTGCGTGTCTTGCGCTTTTGTGCGTGCCAGGAAGTCAAACCAACCGCCCGCCCGCCAGGCCAGGCAGTGCGTGCCATGCAGGCCTCTGTCCACATACAGATATGTGTGCGTACAAACAAATACATATAGATGTACAGTATTTTACATAAAACACGCACACAGGAACAGGAACAGGGTCGAATGCCCATTTGATATGCAAGCAATCCATGCAGTTAACGACGTGCACATAAATATTAAGAAATCTTAAAGCTCGCCGAGCTCTCGACTCGAAGTAAGCCACAGCCCAGCAAGGAGCATACGGAATCCAAGGATTAAACGCTCTTAAAGTGGCAGCAAAGTAATTTTGGCTTAAACCGGCAAAAGCAACCATAAACTGCTTTCAAATCCAGGAATAAACTTTTGTCTAGTTTCATTAATGTCAAGCACTTGCTTAATTAAACAACCTGCTTCATGCCACAGAGCTGC